GATTTTTTAATTTTGTTTTTGTGACAGCGTCTGACTTGATAGCCCAGGATGGCCTTGAACCTGAGCTGTCCTCCTGCCTTAGCCTCCTGAGGCATATGTGCACCCTCACAGCTAGCTGGTAGCCATTCTTTCTGGAATAAGATGGAATCTCAATGGCATTTAATTTTTATTTCCTAACTAGCCAGAAATGTTGACCATTTTTTAGCTTATTTATTGGCCACTTATACTTCTGAGAAATTTCATTTTATTTCTGTTGTCCACCTCTTAATTTGGCCTTTTATTTGGGGAAATCTATTTTTATGAGTTCTTTAAATATTAGTGTTTGATCTGACGAAGAACTGACACAATGGTTTTCCCCCACTTTGTTTCATACTTTTTTTTAAATGGTGTTTTTTTTTTGTTTTTGTTTTTGTTTTTTTTTTTCTTTTGCTCTGCAGCTTTTTAATTTGACAAAATCTCATTTGTTGACTCTGATGTTATTTCCTGTGCCCTGGTGTTCTGGTCAGAAAGTCCTTGCCTCAGTGTATGTCTTCAAATTTTGTTGAGTTTATCTTTGGGCAAATTGTTACTTTTTACATTATGGATCTTTGGTACATTTTTATTTTATTTTAGTATATCCTGAAAAGTATGGGTGTGCTTTCAATCTCTTGCATGAGAATAGACAGTCTCTCCAGTCCATTTGCCAACATGGTTATTTGTCCTCCAGGGTACATGTTTTTAGTTTTCAAAGAATAGGAGGCTGATTGTGCTTGGAGTTGCTTCTGCATCCTCTACTCTGACCCACTGTCCATGTGTCAGCTTTTGTGCCAGTGCCTTCCCCTTTTTATTACTGTAGTTTCGTAATGTAGTTTGAAGTCTGGGATTGTGACATCTCTTGCTTTACTCTTGTCGCTGAGGATTGCTTTCAATATTATTTTATTTTATTTTATTTTATTTTATTTTATTTTATTTTAGGGAAGGGTCTACAGGGTGTTCAGGGTCTCACTACTAGATTGGACTCGTAGTGATCTGCCTGTTTGCAGCCTTTCAAGAGCTGGGATTACAGGCATGCGTCACCATGCCCAGTCTCAATTGCTGTCTCAAATTACACCAGGAGTGGGGCTAGCAAGGCTGGCTGGAGGATGAAACCCCCAGCCCTTGCGCCTGCTTGCAGGCACTTTAATCCACTGAGCTATTTGGTAGGCCCTCTGCTTGCTTACTTGGTTTCTGCCTGTCTTTCTTTTTCTTTCTTTCTTTCTTTCTTTCTTTCTTTCTTTCTTTCTTTCTTTCTTTCTTTCTTTTTGGAACTGGGGATTGAACTTAGACCCTTGCATTTGCCAGGGAAGCGTTTATTCTACTGAGCCATCCCCCCAGCCCTGGCCCTCTGCTTTCAATATTCTGAGTTTTTCTAGTTTGATATGAATTTTAGAATATTTTTTTCTATTTCTGTGAGGAATATCATTGATATTTTGATTGGAACTGTAGTAAACCTGTATATGGTGTGGTACTGACCATTTTGGCAACATAAGTTCTTTTTATCCAATAACAAGTGTATCTTTCCATTATCTGATATGCCTTTTGATCTTTTCTAGAGTCTTAATTATAAAGGTCTTTCACTTCTGGTATTAGAGTAGTAGCTATGCTGTGGTGAATGGGATTGTTCTTCCATTTCTCAGTGAGTTCATTATCAGTGTCCAGAAATATTAACAATCTTTGTGTGTCAATTTTTTGCCATCCTACTGAATGTGGCAATCAGTTCTAGGCATCTTTTGGTGGAATATTTGAAGTTTTCTGTGTAAAAGATCTTGTCATCTGCAAAAGAGACAGTTTAGCTTCTTTGTTTTCTGTACACGTATCTTTCAGTTTTTACCTTGCCTGATTGCTATGCGTAGCAGCCCAGGACTGTATGACCACTCCCTGGAGCACAGTATTTGTCAGGTGGCACCTTGACAGTAACAGTGCTAGAGGAAGCTACCAAAATCATGTAAAGGATAAACAAAGCTTAAGTTGCCTTTATCCATGATTATAACAAATCCAATGCTATCTATATGGAGAAAGGTTTTGCTAGCAAACATGACCGCTTTCTACACTTCCTCAGTTGTTGAACTGACTACAAACTACATGTAATTTTTGTCCCATTGGCACATAATTAGAGCTGACAGTACTGATAACATTTTCTCAAGAATTCTCCAATGCTGTCTAGTTACAAATTCTTGCAATATGTGAGTATTTTAAATATCATTCATTGTGTATGATAATTATATTCCTTGATGCATTGATATGCATTCATTAACTCATGAATCCATGTATTAAGTCAAATTCCCATTTAGTGCCAATAGGGCGCAATCATCCTCCAAGGTGCTCAATTAGAGACCCTCCCTTTATGATGCTTGTATTCTTCCATGGGAGACAACAATCAACAAGCATGCAAACAAAACATGTGATATAATTTCAGAGAGGATTGCTGATGAAAAATAATTCACAGGCTTGTATTAGAGACCACCTGAAAAGAAGTCAGTAAATTTAACAGCTGAAAACATGATGGACATGTCAGGCAATAGTTAAAAGCAGGAATAAGGACAATGTGTGCAGGGAAAATGAGGGAAGAGCTGAAGTTAGACAGAGATAATGGTTTTAGAATCTGAGAGGTTAATAGGGAGGAATTTGGATATTTTTCTGTGTTAGGAAAGCACGGAAAGATTTCAGCCAGGAATTATGAAGAAGTTTATATTTTCAAAAGGCAATGCTATTGAAGTGGAAGCAAAGAACCAGTTAGAGTCCATTTCAGTGGGTGGCTGGAGAAGATTATGTCCACAGAGCATATGCTGATGCAGAATTGGAGGATGTTATCATGATTTGCTTATGAAATCTGAGGAAGACTGGAGAGATCCAAGGTCCTTCCCAGGCTTTGAAATAACCCACTTTGCTAAAGCGCAGGCCATCTACCCAAAGTGGAGCAAGTAGAAATTGGGGAAAAAACTCAGGATTCTGGTTTCAAATAGATCAGATTGAAAGTACAATGCATATTTGACACATATGTAAACTAGCGATGGACTTTAAAGATAGGAGTTAAAATTTTAACCAGGAGTTAAAATTTGGGAGTTTAAATGGAAAGAAAGTAATTGAGAACACTAGAATGAGAGAAGTGCTAGAGGACCGAGGCGAGGCAGTGAAGACAGACATGCACGTAAGCAGCCTTGGCCGACTCCAGCATTTGCTGGAATGGAAGCAAGTAAAGGCGTGGAGCTCAACGTGCAGATAGGAAGCACAAAGGTAAAGCCAACCTACATTAATTAAGCACGTGTTCCCATGGATAGAGGCTAACTGTGATATGTAGTGTATTAAGTGGTTGGACTTACAGATGACGAATAAAATATTAAGTAAGTCTTGTAGGCCAACATTGTTATCATAAAGTTACCTGCGAGTGCATCCAGCAAGCCTTGTACATTCCATGCAAATGAGACGCATGGAATACCAATAAAACAAACAACAGTGTTCTCAAAATTGTAGTTACTATAAAGTAGCATTAAGTACACCCCAATTCCTAGCCTGTGAGGGTATAATCCTTACTTTTCTATGTGATACTCGGGTCAAGTAATTGCTTTTATGTTTTCTCTTGTGTAATTAATTGTGTGATGTAATATGACTGGATTTGAAGTCAGACTCAACCACATACTAGTTCTGCGCCTGAGTTTTATACTTTTAGGTTTTAAGAGCTTTATAAAGCTAAGAATGGAAGAGATTATAGTGTATCCCCTGTTATCCACTTGTACAATTCAAAATAAAACCAATCTAAGCCGTAAATTAAGTAAGGACATCCAAACAACTTTTAACTGATCCCATGTGATTTTAATACTATTTACTACTTATTCAATAGTATTTTCTTTCTTTAAAAGTTATTTTCTTCACTTTGTGTTCTATTTTATTTTGCCCAATCTCTGGAACAATGTAGCAGTGTTTACCTCCCTATAAGTTTCAAGTTCATTCACTATAAAATTAGTAGAAAAGAACTCATGTATCATCTTGATTATTGTTCTAGTTCTTAGCAAACCCTCAAACAACATTGCATATTATTTATTTTATTATCTTTAAAATCATCTTTATCATTAACATTATGCTAGGGGCTGGTGAGATGGCTCAGTGGTCTAAAGCACCTACTTAGAACAAGCTTAACAAAGCACAGCGACTGCGGTTCGATCCCCCAGCACCACATGCCAGCCTGCCCCGCCCCCTGGTGGGCTGAGCTGGCCACACACACACATAAATAAATAAATGTTTAAAAAAAAAAAAAACCATTATGCTAAAGGAGTGTTGTAATAGTTCAGTGATTATGAAAACACTCAGCATGATAATTGCCAAAGAACCTTGACACCCCTTCCTTTATGGTAGATCTAAGACCCAGAAATGACCAACTGAGGTAAATGTCTTTATTAATGGCAAAACATGGGATAGAGACACAAATCTGGCTTTGGAAACAGAGCAGCAGCATTTAAGGCTGGTGGAGGGGGCCCAGCTTGAACCCGGAGCGCTCTGATGAATGGAAACCTAGTTAAGAGGCCACGGAGGGTAGGAGCGGGCTCAGGCCAACAATAAGCAGCCATGGTAGAGGGTAAATAATCATACTTTCCAACCTTTTTATGTCCATTTCTTCACTTTAACACACATTATCATTCTGTTGAGTATCACAGAGCTCAAACAAATGTAATTAAAAATAATACTATTGAGTCAAGAGAAGAATTTTCAGGTAGACACCTCGTGTTTGGAGAGGCAGGAGCAATTCATATAATTAAATGAAAGTGGAAAAAAAGAAGCCCCAGACAACCATTAATTTGTTTCAATCATTTAAATCATCTCAAAATAGTGTGTAGACACATCTATGTTTTAATATTGAAAATGTAGTAACATAGAATATGATTCTACACTTCTCAGGAGGTTCACTTTTTGAAAAACTCATTGAAGTATGTCAGTGTCTTTCATATTCATTTTCCACAGAAAGTTCATAGTATATAATTTGATTTTAGGGGTTGCCTGCAAGCCGTGTGAGGTATAGAGTAGATGATACCCAGTTTCCTTACCCTGCCAGTATTTTTGATGTAGAAGAAGATTCTGGAAGAGTAATAACGCGTGTCAATCTTAATGAAGAACCTACAACAATTTTTAAGGTCAGTGCTTCATTTTGTTTATGTTGTTTATTTGACATTCAGAGTCAGCTTTTGAATGAGCTGGCTTAGCATGTGTCTCCTTTTAAATTGTTCTCTTTCAAAATATTTTTTTAAAGTAAAAATCATCATTTCCTTTTCACAAGTAATTAAGCAACAAATTTAGAAAAGAAAATTAGTTAAGTAGCTAAAGAAAAAGTTATCATTTGGTACTTTAAGTCTCTAAGATACAAGGATGCTACCAGTTGGTAGTTACTTTTATGATACATTCTTCAAAGATACAAGTATGCAAATATTAATTTTCAAAAAACATTATTTGTCTTGTTTTCTAACTTGGTAATATATTGCTCATATCAACAAATGCTATGATTAGTAGTACTCTGTTAGTGAGTTATGTTCCACTGTATGAATATAACATTATGTTTTCTTTTAAATCAAATAACTTCTTGGATAATGAGAATTTTAATAGTTTTTCCTAAAAGAAAAAATCTGTTGCTGTGAAACTGTTTGTGCATCTTTCATTTGCTACTTGTGATGTTTTTCTTCAAGATAAACACCCACAAGTACAACTGCTGAATCAGGTTCACGTACTTGAAGTATTAATTATATCTTGAAAATTTGACAAAAATTACCCCTTACAATTTTCAAATTTTAAAAAGTGCCGCTTGTCCTCATCCCACTGAGCTCTGTATTTTATTTTTATATTTTGCATTACCTGCCAAAGAAGCATCTGTAACCATCTGACTTTTCTTAAAATTTATGCCTCTTTAATTACTTGTGAAATACTATATATTATGGCTTTTGTTTTCATATATCTTATAATATTCCAACTTCAGATAGTTTTATAACAGTCACAAAAATAATGTCTATTTCTCCATATGAAGAAATACTGAAAAATAGTTTCGATTATCCCCATTAATACATTTAATTATACGCTTGGGAATTTTTATTTTTATAGTTGTTTAAAATAATTTTGTCATTGTTAATATAGCCTTTGAAAAATGCACCCAGGAAACACCTTGTATAGGTAATATGAATATAATTAGCATTATGTCACACAGGATTTTGTCATTGTTCAGAATAACTAATCCGTTTATCAACTGTTATTAAGGAAAATGTTAAGTTGTAGCTCTTGAGATAATCTTTGGTTAGGCTTCCATGATCTAGGTTGAATAACATTAGCTAAGTTATCTTGCAGCTTCCAAAACAGTATACATTCCATGGAAAATCATAATTTTGAAAATAATGATTGAATATTGGAATATTATATTTCTTCTTAGTAGTGTATAGATCATTAGAAAAATGATCAATTATAAAAGCAATTGCAGAGGTTGATGAGATAGCTCAGCAGACTAAAGCACCTGCTTAGGTAAGCTTAGGCCAGCCCAGGGACTGTGATTTGATCCCTAGCAACAGAGGCTGCACCAATCCTGCCCCCAGGGTGGGCTGAGCCAGCCAGAGCCCAGGCATGGTGGCACACACCTGTCGTCCTGGCACCAGGGAGGCTCAAAGCAGGAGGATCACCATGAGTCTGAGCTGCATAGTGAGACCCTGCAACAACCAAATCCATCAAAAATAAATAAATAAATAAATAAAAGCAATTGCTGTTTCTAAATAATAGACAGCTGTTGCTCTGAAAGAATAAGCATATTCTTTAGTTTGTATCATTTTCATATTTTCTGCTATACCATATTAACTTGCTTTTATATAGCTTGTTTAAAGAGGTTGAATAAAAAAGAGTGTTACACTGCAAAGACTTTCAATTTTATCCTTTAGAGAGAAGTACATCCACCCTACAATATTGAAGAATTATTAATTCACTGGAAAAATTAATTACCTTTAGCAAGCAAGATAATTAGCTCTTTACTATTGATGTTGACTGATTTGAATATGTTTTAAATAAGTGTATTGGTGCTGTAAAAGTATGCCACTGCTGCAAACAGCAGAGAAATTGTGGAAGTGTTGATATTTGGAGAGATAGATTATACACATATTTTATTGGTCCATTCTTCTTTTAATAATTTAATAACTCCTTCGAATATTTTTTTCTAGTAAATAAAGTCACAATACCTGCATGGTCTGATTATTGTGAAGATTAAAGATTATAGGGCCAGAGAGATGGTTCAGTAGAATCAGCACTTGCCTGGCAAGCACAAAGGCTTGAGTTCAATCCCCAGTTCTGCCAAAAAAAATAAAGATAAATAAATACATAAAGATTATAGCATGTTCTCTCCTAGTGTATGTGATCTCCTGCCATGCTTGGTGCTGCCTCGCAGGTCACATAGAGACACAAATGATGCTTTTATTTTCCATTTGTCTATAATCTTTAACGTGAGATTTTATTACTTTTTAAGTTGATCGTTGTTGCTTTTGATGATGGGGAACCGGTGATGTCCAGCAGTGCCACAGTGAAAACCCTCGTGCTGCATCCTGGAGAGATCCCACGCTTCACACAGGAGGAATACAGGTACCGGCTCTTTCCATTTTTCAAGAGAAAAGCAATAAAATCAGAGCTAGAAAAGTTAGGGATTGTTTCATACCAGGTTTTGAGATACATGAAGTGTACACTGTTACGTGGGAGAGACTTTCAAAATGAATGTAATATGAATTTATCAGTGATAGGCATTTCCAGTTGTACTTCAAGATTTTGAAGTTAGCTTAATGTGTGTCCATGTCTCTCTGTGTGCGAAATACTTCTGTTATCAAAATTAATTTGTTTAATTCTTTTCAAATTCCTTACACATGAAAAAGCTCAAGAACTGAGCATATATTTTCCCAGAAGAAATAACAGAAAACCAAATAATGGGTCCTGGTTGCCCAAAATTACACTTATATGTTCATTTTACCAGGAATTTAACACATTTTGCGATGATTTCGTTCTTTAGCTCTATCACGGTTGCCACATTTTCCCTCTTAGCTTACTGTTCACATCACTAACTTTCTTTGCAGCCATGGCTATGATGTCTTAGACAAATAAAGTCAGAAACACAGTGACAAATACGCAACACACAGAAGCCAGCACTACATGTTTTCTGGGTGAGAACAGTGCCTAAATGGAAGGGTCACCCTTTGCATCTGTGACACCAGAGAGGACTCACTCTCTGGGAATAAATGTTTTTTTCAAGTTGGGTTTTCATTATGACTACAGAACAGAGTGAAGAACACCAAGCAGGCTTGTTTTCAGAGTTTGCTGTTTGAGTAATGGAAAGCTTTTGGAGCCCTTTGACAACTGAGGAAACAAGGTCTCACTGTATGTAGCATATTCAAGCTGATATAACAAAATACCATAAACTGGGTGATGTCAGCAGCAGAAGTTTACTCCCTCTCTGTTGTGGTGTGCGGCAGATGCTAGCCCAGGCTCAGCGTTCTGGCACGTGGGCAGATTGAGGTTCCCTTTCAGGGCTATCCTGAGCCAACCTCCTGCTGGTTCCTGATGTGGCAGAGAAGCAAAGCTCTTCAGTGCCTGTCCTGAGGAGGACACAAGTCCCATGATGAATGGGCCAACCTCATAATCTCATCAAAATCCCATTTTCTCCCATGAGCCTCATGTCCAAATGCCTACCTCTGGTGATGAAGAGATGTGTAAAGCTTGTTACTTCTGCACAATCACCAAGGCTCAGGCACCACAGCAGTTTGAATTTCATTTCAGTTTTACAAATTAACTACTCCCAAAGCCTTACAGCTTGTAGTGCAAACAAATAACTATGAAAATATTACATACTGTTAAACCATGATAGAGATGGGGCCATGCTACTTAGGGAGTGAGTTGAAGAGACAGTTAAGTAGGTTTGAACATACGTGTAAGCATTTTTTTTTGTGTGTGTTCTCACTTACAGGTGAAGCAAATTAGATTATCCATTCCACATTAGATGCATGCTCCTAGTTCAAAAATCAGTTTGGGAAGCTGGACAGATAGCTCAACAGATTAAGGCACCTGCTTAAGCAGACACAGGAACTGGGATTCCATCTCCAGCGTACTGTGCTGGCCTTGCCCCCAGGGTGTGCTGAGACTGCAATTGAGACTGGCCGTGGTGGCACGTGCCTGTAATCCCAGCGCTTGGGAGGCTGAAAACAGGAGAATCACTACCAGTCTGATCTGTGTAGTGAGAGCCTGTAGACCCTGCACTAAATACG